TATTGTGCCAATGATCACTAACCCATCTTCATATCCTGGCACCACGTCCTTTAGTTCTTTTGTGAAAAAGAGAAGTGGGAGTTTCGGTTTGGAAGAATATTCCTTAAACTTTGGTTGGTCTCAGATTGAAAGTGTAACATCCTGAGCGCTGACGAGGACGGGGAGTGATCGTCGATGCGAAAAGGCATGGACAAGGAGAGGCTCCTGACAGGTTTTCAGCAGGGGGTTACATGAATGAATCAAATCGACACCCCAAAGAGAGAAATTCCAAAGAATGTGCAGGTATGAGCCTGCAGAGTTTGGGATAGCTTATAAGAATTAATTGGTACTACCTATACTAACAAGATGCATATACTTTTCGGTAGCCCGGAACGAAAGAACTCCATAGTTAAGCGTGTTTGACTTGCAGTAATTTTGGGATCGGTGACCTAGGAAGTGTACGAGTGAGGAAAAAGTAGACTGAAAAGTCTTGTGTTAGTATGTGGGGATAGTCATTGATTCATGAAGTAGTCGGAAGTTACAGAAAGTACCTCCCTGAGGTACTTCTTCCTAGCACTTCTTGTGTCTCGTCCACCATCCAAAGCTCTACTTATAAAGTTACATCCGAACTCAATTTCAGGGAACTCTTCATTATTTCTATCTTTCTTTTTGTCATCATCTTTCTTCTTCTTGTTCTTTGGTGAGCTTTGACTACGACCTTTTTGCTTTATTTTTTCGCCCTTCCTCCCTTGTGTCTTGATCACCTACTGTTGTAGTTTACCATCTCTGATGTATTTTTCAATTGCATCTTTTAGGTCTTAACAATGGTCAGTGGTGTGTCCAGGGCCATCATGGAATGCACAATATTTGGATTAATCCAACCCGAATTTTTGGGATCGAGGTATGTAACACCACGTGTATACCCGATTTGTTATCATATCATCGTATTAAGCGTTGCTTAATTAAAATGCGGAATTTACTTTTTCTTTTCAATTATGACGTCATTAACATTAACCAAGTTGATTACTTAATTCTTTTTCAAAACATTGTCTGTATGTAAATTGCAAATAAACAGCTATCTACACTGAATAACCTCATATATAAATAAGTGAGTATCTAAATCACGGAACTACAATACGTAGTCCGAACCATAATCCTGATACATTGCACAACTTGAAACTAAATCGCCAAAGTAAAGTCAATGTGGCATTGACAACCCCCTTGCTCACCAAATAAGGCAACAAAGCCCAACAGAGTCTCACATCAAATAACATGGTAATAAATGTAAAGCATGTCAGAATCCAGCACATCATCATAAAAGCATAAATCTCAACTCAGCTCCGGTCTCCTGCCGCCCGAGTTATCTGAACCTGAAAATGTGCCCTAAACGTGGGGTGAGATCTCTAAACAGAAATCTCAGTAAGGCAAAGGATCCTCAAGGATTTCTCCACCCAAGCTCACTTACATGTGCAATATAAGTTCTAAAAGCAGTAAAACAGTATAAGTTCCAAAATCAGTGCAATGCGGCAGAATAATCATGTCATATGTGTCAAAATATTCTACTGGCCAGAGATATGTAGGATTTACATACGTCTATTACCTACAATCAGTGCAAGACACCACTTGCTCCCACCCACAGAATCACCCTATTGTATGTCTCCTACATACTCAGGGGCTTACTGTCTAGGTGGAACAACACATGCATATCATAAGGCACTTGCACATAAAAGCTCAACAGCATTTCAAATATCAATACATGAAAACACATCATGCATATAAACCATTCCCCCATGGGGTATAGTGGAACACCAGAAGGTGAAGATAGAACACCAGAAGCCGTCTGGTAAGCTTCAACTTCTAGAGATTCCAGAATGGAAGTGGGAGAGCATTTCCATGGACTTCGTGGTGGGTTTGCCGAAGACTCAGGTTGGCTGCGACTCTATCTGGGTCCTTATGGACAGACTGACGTAGTCTGCCTATTTTCTTCCAGTGAAGGTGAGCTTCACTACTGAGAAGACAACCAAACTTTATGTTCGCGAGATTGTGAGACTTCACGGGGTGCCCGAGAGTATCATCAGTGATAGGGACCCGAAGTTCACATCTCGGTTCTGGGAGGCGCTGCAAAAGGCTTTTGGTATGCAGTTGAGACTGAGTACAGCCTATCACCCTCAGACTGATGGACAGACTGAGCAGACCATCCAGACATTGGAGGACATGTTGAGGGCTTGCACTTTGGAGCAGGGTTCAGCATGGGATAGGTACCTGCCATTGGTTGAGTTTTCATACAACAACAGTTTCCATGCTAGCCTGGGCATAGCACCCTACGAGGCGTTGTATGGTAGGAAATGTCGGACTCCTACTTACTGGTCTGAGGTTGGAGATAAGGAGCTGTTTGGCTTGGACTTTGTCCAAGATACTACCCTGCAGATCCAGTTGATCAGGGAAAAGCTGAAGCAGGCGCAGAATCGCCAGAAGAGTTACTACGATGTCTAGCATCGTCCACTGAAGTTCAGTGAGGGTGAGCACGTGTTGGTGAGACTATCACCTGTCACCGGTGTTGGTCGTGCACTCGGAGTGAGGAAGCTGAGCCCGCGATTCTTTGGGCCATACCAGTTACTTGGTAGAGTAGGACCTGTTGCCTTGCCTCCGAACTTGGCCAACACCCACGACGTGTTTGACGTGTCTCAACTTCGCAAGTTTGTAGCGGATCCTGCGCACGTGATGCAACCGGATGTTGTGGAAGTTCAGGAGAACCTAAAGACTTGCGTTGGACTACTGAAGATTCTCGATCGTGGCGAGAAGCAGCTGAGGAGCGAGACCATTCCGATGGTCAAAGCGCAATGGACGGGAAGAATTCCTGAAGGGTATTTCTGGGAGCGAGACGACGAACTTCTCCGGCAGTATCCCGAGCTTCGAGACAGGTATGTTTTCTGATTTTGAGGGCAAAATCCTAAAAAGGTGGGGTGAATGTAAGAACCTGCACCGTTAATTAAGGAAAATAATTAATTAAATGTGTGAAATTAGGAAATAATTCCATAATTGACCTTAATAATTATGAGAAGGCTTAAATAAATATAGAAAGTGATTAAGAATGCTGAAAGTCGCTTTTCGGACGAAAAGTGCAGATACCGATTCTGCTACTCGGTATAAATGTGTACCGATGAAGTATCCCGAAAAATTATGAAAAATGTGTTTATGTCACTAGAATAATATATAGGACTTGTAAAACAAGTTTCAAGTTAAAATAATGAGAACTGGTGCCAGAACTGATATTGGCTATGGAAAAGCGCGTACTGGAAAGGTGCTGCGAAAAATATAAGAAAAATATGACAAATCTTAGAAAAATGAGTAGGTTCAGAATCCTAAGTTTGAGATTAAAATGCTAAGCGTAGCTATTAGCACTAATATAGTGCGTTTAAAATTTAAGTGGCCTATATAAGGCCGCACATGATCCTAGGTCTATTTTGGTGCCTCCTTCGTAGGAATTTTTTGAGTTTGAGCTCTCCTTGCTGCCTTCCTCTTCCTTGCTTGGGAACTCACCAAAGAAACTACCTTTCTTCCATTTCTCTTCACCTAAACACCTAGGGTGTGTGTGAACAATCATTGTGGGTGGGAAAATGGCTTCTTTTCTGAGTGTGGTTGCTGTCTTGTGAGGGTGAGTGTGCTGCCTTCTGGTTTTGGTGAGGAGGGAGCCTTTATCTTGGTTATTGTAGCTCCAAGAAGCTACCTTTGTGAAGAAAGGACCCATATTTGTTTGCCATTTTTTTGCACCTTGGGAAGTCAGACTTGAGGAGCTGTTGGTGAGCTCCAAGAGCACCTTCTTGCTCTGTTTTGAGCTTGGGTAAGTGCCACCCACCTTGATCATGAGTTTTAATGGTTAAAAGTGGAACCTTGATGCATGTAATGAATTAAAGTTAATAACTTGGGGTTGGGTAAGCTTAAACACACCTAGAAATGCATGATTAAGCTTCTGTAATCTGTAAAAGTCGAACCTTTGGATTGATATCTCGCGAAATGCAGAATTTGAGTCCTGCCGCGAAATATCCGGATATGGATATCTGGATATGGATATCCAGATATGGGGTTCTGAATATCCGGATATTGATATCGGGATATTGCAAAATAGATATCCGGATATGCCCCAGACAAATATCTAGATATTCTGGGTTTTCGAGAATAGTAACGGTATTGTTCATACAGAATTGTGTTATGGGTTTATGGACCCTAGTTTGATGAAGTGGGACTTCTGTATTAATTAATCTAAGTCTGAATCAAAGTGATTTAGGGCTTATGGCTTTGTGAGAAGCCTTAAGACATGAAACGTAAAGGAAAGGCGTTGTCTTTATGTCATATGTTTGTAGAGTATGAATATTGATGTTATGATTGGTCCAAACAGATTGTGATTGTGCTGTGTGTGGACTTTGAGCTTGGTTGGACTCTTGGCTTGGATAGTTAGCTTGTAAGGTAAGCTTTTGTGTCCTCGGTTTAGCCATTGTTGGTTCCACCATGTCCCATGGGGGGATTGTTTATATGCATGATGTGTTTTCATATATTGTTTTATTGAAATGCTATTGAGCTGTTAAGTCCAAATGCCTTATGATATGTATGTGGTGTTCGCCTAGACGGGCTGTAACCCTGTGGGCAGGTACGGCTTGGGGCGCGTACTATGTGGGTAATAGACGTATTCCTGTACTTCTCTGATCAGTAGAATAGCTATAACACACATGACATGATTATCTGTTGCATTGCACTGGTTTGTAACTTATATTGAATGACTGCTTTTAGAACTTATATTGCACATGTAAGTGAGCTTGGGGTGGAAGATCCTTAAAGACCCCCTGTCTTACTGAGATTTCTGTTTAGAGATCTCACCCCATGTTTGGGGCACATATTTCAGGTTCAGGTAATGCGGGGGTTGAGACCTCTAGCGGCAGGAGGCCGGAGCTTAGCTGATATTGCTGTTTATATGATGATTATGCTTGGATGCTGGATTATGCTTGTTGCTACTTGTTGTTAGCTTTATGATTATATTGCTATTGTTGTTGAGACCTTGTTTGGCTATATTGCCTTATTTGGTGAGCATGGGGATTGTCCATGCCACATTGATTGACTATGTCTTAGTTAGATTTGAGTTGTAATAATGTATCAGGATTATGTCTTGACTACGTGTTGTAGTTTCGTGATTTTAGATACTCACTGTTAATTATATATTGAGGTATTTCAGTTAGCTGTCTTTTGCAATTTACATACAGACAATATTTTGAAAGAGGATTTTAATAATCAACTTGGCTAATGATAATGACGTCATAATTGAAAAGAAAAAGATATTCCGCATTTTTAATTAAGCGTGGCTTAATACGATGACATGTTAACAAACCGGGTATACATGGGGTGTTACAACTTACGTCACCATCCGTTCCCCACTGTGTTTTTGTCAAAAAGATATTAAACATGTGCTTTTAGTGCTAAAGTTGCTCGTCAGGTGAGGGAACTGATCAAAATGGGCTTAGATGGGCACGAATTTTCGTCCCATCAGACCTCTTGTCTTACTGAGATTTCTGTTTAGAGATCTCACATAACGTTTGGTGCACATATTTCAGGTTCAGGTAACTCGGGAGTTGAGACCTTGGGCGGCAGGAGGCCGGAGCTGAGTTAGTTATATGCTGATTACGATGATATGCTTGGATGCTAATATGCTATTTATTTATTATCATGTTGTTTGATTTGAGACTCTGTTGGGATTTGTTGCCTTATTTGGTAAGCATGGGGGTTGTCCATCCCACATTGATTTCTGTTATGTTTGAGTTTATCTGAGTTGTATAATGTATCAGGATATGGTCCGGACTACGTGTTGTAGTTTCGTGATTTAGATACTCACTTATTTATATTATGAGGTTATTCAATGTAGTTAGCTGTTTATTTGCAATTACATACAGGCAACATTTTGAAAGCGATTAAGTAATCAACTTGGTTAATAATGATGACGTCATAATTGAAAAAAAAGTTATTCCGCATTTTTAATTAAGCAACGCTTCATACGATGACATGTTAACAAATTGGGTATACATGGGGTGTTACACATTTATACCGTGAGGCAGAATCGGTATCTGCACTTTTCGTAAAAAAACGACTTTTAACATTATTAATCACTTACCATAATTATTTAAGCCTTCTCATAATTATTAGGGTCAATTATGGAATTATTTTCTAAAATCACACTTAATTAATTTAAATTCCTAAATTAACGGTGCGGGTTCTTACAAGGTACGTTCAATGTGGCATATTTATCGTATCTTACCACATGGAATTTATCATCCGAGTTTTTACCTCGGAAGTCTGGTTGCCTTTGCCCTCCATGTTGCTCTTTTTCTTTCTTGGCCGGATTCCTTCTTTGTAGACTTTGGCCCCTATTTTCTTTACTCGGGACATTTGCTATCTCCATATGTTCCAACTCTAGATACTTCTGTGATCGGGCTCTAAACTCGGCCAGCATTTTATTAGGGTCCTTGTAAATTGATTTTGCCAATTTGGATAAGCCATCCAATCCAGATACAATAAGGTGCACGTGAACATTCTTATGTAATCCCAAAACTTGTAATGCTTCAGACGTGAAACGATCTAAATATTTTTGAAGCATCTTGCATGGTTGCTATTTAATCTTTCTAAGAGCGAACTTGGGCTTTGGATGCTTATTTCTTGTAGCGAAGTTCAATAGAAACTTATCTTCAATTTCCTCGAATGACCCAATTGAGTTTGCCGGCAATGTGGAGAACCACATTTGCCCGGCTCTGGTCAGAGTTGTTGCGAATATGCGGGAAATAAGAGGCTTATCAATTTCCCTTATATACATATCCGTGTCAAAAGTGTCTATTTGAACCTGTGAGTCCTGACTTCCATCGTACTTCGGCATATGTTCCAAACCAAATTCTTTTGGGAAATGCAAGTTTACGATCTCGTTCGAGAAAGGACTATTGTTGTAGTATCCCTTGCTGTACTTTCTTTTATATGTACCCGCTTTAGCACGACCTTGAACATGGATATCTCGGTTTTATTCTATATTTTCGGCTCTTTCATCAATGTGATATCTTCCTATATTCACCATTTGGTTTTGATCACCTGAACCTCGGCCTCGATTACCTCCAAGTCTGATATGGTCATTCGCCGCATTAGCATTTATGGCCTCGTACTGAACATTGTTGTTGGCATCTCGGGTATAATCTTTGTAAGAACCTGTACCGCTAAATAATTAATTAAATAATATTATCGATGCTGGTGCATGGATTTGATAAAGATTATGCATAATTATGATAAGATAATTATTTAGAAGGTTAAATAATGCTTAAATCGTTTTTCTGATGAAAAGTGCAGATACCGGCTTTACTTCGCAGTATAAACGCGTACCAATGGAGTGTTCCAAATATATTATAATAAAAATATGATAATTCCTAGAAAAATATCTAGGTTAAGAATATGAAGTTTGGAAGAAAAATAATTAGTAGAACTATTAGAACAAATACCGATGGATTAAGTGAGTGCACCTATAAATAGAAAATGTGCACAAGACCCTAGGTCAGATTTTGTCATTCTACGTAGGTGCATTCCTTGGTCTCGTGGCTGCCACCTTCTCCCACATAATTCCATAGCCTTCTATGCAAGGAAAACCCTAAAGACACCATTTTTACTCTTGATTCTTCCTTTTCCACCTTGTGAACACTTGAGAGTAACCCACTGTTTTGAGAGGTTAGTTGGCTGACTTCTTGGGTTAGTGGTGTGGAAGCCATTTTCCTTGCATTTGATGCTTCAAGAAACCATTTTGTGGAGGAAAGAACCTTTCTTGTGAACCAAATTCATGGCCTTATGGTGATAAAGTTGTAGGATGGTGTAGAGAGCTCTAAGACAACTCCTTTTCTCTGTCTTGATCATTGGATCTGTGACCTTGCTGGACACTGCTATTACTTGTGACCTTTTGGACACCAAGTCGTGAGGGAGGGTGTAGCTTGACAGGTAAGCTTTGGGTCCTCGGATTGATCTGTTGCTTGTTCTACCGACCTCCATGGGAGGGTGGTTTACGTGCATGGTATGCTTTAATGAAAATGATGTGTGCATTGTTATTTATCTGAGATATGTGGATATTCATGTTGATGTAATGTATGGATGTGATGTTGAGTACTCACACGAACATGCAGCGACCTTGGTGTGTAAGGCATGAGGCAGCGACCCTCATATTTACGTAGGTCGTAGACGTGTGTAAATTCTATCCTGTTCTTTGGCCAGTTGAACCACACTTGCATACATCACATGAGATATGAACTATGGTACATGATTTTATGAGGATTTAGATATATTTTCTCAATTATATTGCTTTAACATGAACATGCATTGTATTTAGTGTTTATAACTTATTATATATATTTGTAAGTGAGCTTGGGGTGGAAGAGTCTTTGAGGATCGCTTGTCTTAGTGAGATATCTGTTAGAGATCTCACCGCGTGTGGGGCACATTTTTAGGTACAGGTACTTATGAGGTTGAGACTTCTGGTGGTATGAGGTCAGAGTTGAGCTGATATTATGCATGCTTCCTTGTTTCTATAGATAGATATCATTATGCCTTGTTATTTATATATGGCTATTGTACTTAAGACATGATTTGACTATATCATTTTATTTGGTGAGCATGAGGGTTGTCCATGCCACATTTGAATAATTTGTGTTTATTGGTTCTGGAGTTGTATTATTGCATCTGGATTTGTCTGGTCTACGTGTTGTAGTTCCATGACTTGATACACTATTTATGGTATGAGGTTATTCAGTTTAGTTATTTATTACAATTTACATACATGCAGTTTTTGAAAAAGATTCACTGAGTTAATATGATAAAATTCATAATTAAAATTTTTAGCTTCCGCATTTATCAGAGTTGTGCCTATTACTATTTATATGTTTAATACACCAGATGCACACAGGGCGTTACAATCTCGGATCTGATTCTGGCGCAATCGCTCTTCTAACTCCTGGATCCTCCTAGCATGCAGCTGATCTTCAAGTTCTAAGATCCTTCGAGCATCCTCCTATCTCTGGAGATTATTGCAGTTTTCCATTTCATCCATTTGTCGTAAGATCGCATTGAGAGTAGTATACGCGATGTGGTTATCTGTATCCTCTATGGTAGGTTGTTGACCTGGAGGTAGAAAAGAGATAGGGGCAGGCTGACCTGGAGCCTAGTAACCCAAATCTAGCTATCGCTGCAGTTTAGGGGTGTGGATGCAATGTCTGAAACAGCCTCGTCGACATGCACTGCATTATGATCGATTGTATTATTACCAACTGGGTAGTTGGGAGGCTGGTCTATATCCATCAAAGCGGGATTTGCAGGCGGTGGCAAGTGGCTGTTACTTCTTGTATTCACCATATCTGGCTCCAATGTTCTATCTTAGGGACTGAGATGTCTAGTTAAAGAGACTGCGATTATTAATCTTGGATCTATATTGGCTTTCTTGAATATCAATGGACTAGATACCTTTCACTGTATATTAAGGTTACCAGCGATAACCAAAGGGGTAATGTGTATATACAGTGACAACATAACAGTAAGAGAGAAAGTAGTACCTTCCTATGAGTTTTACCTCTTATTTATAGGTTTTACCTATAGTATGAGCATCCTGGGCCTGCATTGGCTCTTTAGAGGGCCCATATCTATGCTCATTACTATCATTTCTTATTATTGGGCTTTATATAACATGGGCCTATTGTATGATCCATAAACAACATATAAGTCTTCTAAACAATTTAAAATATAAATATTGCCCACGCAAAATGATATGTCGGGCTCACGCATAATAACCAACCAAAAACCTTAAATGAAAACGAAGAAGTAAAATCAGAAATTAACTTTTTACTTGTACCTGCAAAAAAAATATTAAAGCAAATAATGAAAACTATATAATCGAACTTGACAATATATAAGAAGGAAAATCTACTTCTCCTTTCATTGCACAATTTTTTTTCTGCAGCAACTAATTTTAAGTATGTACTACAGGTAGTACATAGTTATAATGGTAAAATTATTTTTCTCTCTCCGTCACGTCAGCCGACAATGTGTAGGAAGAGAGAAAAAATAACTTTATTATTATAACTATGTATTATGCATAGTACGTAGTTGTAATCGATTCTTGCAACAACAAAAAATTTACATCAACAATAGAAAAAACGCACCCATATACAAATTGAGAATGTGGCGATTGATATCAAAAAATAAAGGTTAAAGATCAAGCCATTGCAATAGAGGTAGGTAGGGTTTCATTTGGTTTATGCTCTTCAATGATCCAATATGATAAATATGATAGTCTTCTCCATAAATTTTAGCATTTAAAATCTATCAATTGGTATTAAAGTCACTTTATATTAAGTCATATTGGGGAATTGTTTTTATTTAAGGTTTATACGTTCAATTCAGTTGCATGCGACACTCGTATAATCAAGTTCTTTTGAGCAAGTTCTTTTTCTTCCCTCATCATTTCGAATTAGACCCACTTAAGATGCAAATAAATTTAAATGTGTTGATTGTCCTTCAACGTTTTTTCTTTTCTTAGATAATTTTGTGTAAATGACAAGAAGGAGAAGTAATATTTATATAATAAAGATATGTGATGGAAAATTGATCTAAAATAGTCTACAACTAATAGTTGTAAAATATGTTGTACAATAGCTCAAGGATCATATTATACCCGCGTATATTGATAAATAAAGCAAAATTTTTTAAATATTATTCTCAAAATAATAAATTACGAAAACGTAGCAATTTGAAACCAATTTACGAATTTATAGCATCCAGCGCGACTGGTCACGCCTCAAATAGGACGCAACTGGTGCTGGGTCGCGCCTCATTTTGGGAGCGACCAGTTTTGGGCGCGACCCAGCACCAGTTGTACCCTGCTGAAGGCATTACCACTCCCCTTACTTGTCCAATTTTGAACGCGATTGGCTTAGTTGTCCCCTATTTAAACCCCTATCCTCTCCACACTCTTCACATCTCATGTTCATCATAAACCCATACTCGTAGATACATTATGACTTCCTTATTCATACTCTCTTTTGCATTTTTTGTTTATATATTTATAAATGAGTTCGCATTCTGATTATTTTCATATTGTTCTATATTATAATGGTAGGAAAGTAGAAGGCTGACGTGATGTAGTTTTTGAAGGCGAGAAAATATCAACACGTATCAAACACAACTCAACAATTGACGAACTGCATCAGAAAATCTGTCAAAAATTAGGTCTCGAAGGTAAGCAATCTATCACTCTGGTCACGGCAAGATTATGGTCCAAAGAACAATACATTAGTTTGCAAGTTGTGGATGATGAAGACGTGGATATGGTAATGGAAGAATTCTTTAACCAGTTAAGGAAAGATTTCATAGAGTTGTTCTAGTAGAATGGTCAAGGAAGAATATGTGTGGTGGGATCGGTAGGCTCAAGCTCATGCTCAGATAAAGACCGAGGAGACTCAGATGAAGATGACTTAGCCATAATAAATTTACAAACATATTGTTATAATTTATTTGATTGCATATAATTTACATGTCTAATACAAGATTTAAAAATATATTAAATTACAAATAAAATAGGCATACAAAATTTATTATTTTTAATGCAAAATCACTATGCATAATAAATTTGTTATGTATGTCCTAAATCACTACACAGAATAAATTAGATTAACTAAGATCAAAATTAATAGGCATCTTAAAAGTATCTATGCATAATATAAATTATTAAGTGTGAATAAAATTCCTACGCATATATTATTATTCACTATAATTGTCCTAAGTCATTAGTCATAATTTAAGTCACTAATCATGTTTAAAGCCACTAAATATGTTATAAGTCACTAACCATGTCGCAGAAGTATATCCTAGGTCACTATTCATACAATAAGTCTCTAACAATTTTCTAGGTTACTAACAATTTCCTAAATAATTAGTATACATATCTATTGTTGTAATACTAATATATTCACATGTATAAATTTTTACGTATAAATCCTGTGCATTCATCCATATTTCATATTTTTCATCTCTAGCTTCTATTTTCATTTCTTTCCTCAACATAATGAAGCCAGGGTTAGGTAGATGAGAAACTTTTGCATGAACACAATGTTTAGGAGCACATCACTGCTCACAATGGGAGACCTACTTCAAGACATATATATTTGTTAGTATACTTATTGGTTATGTCCCCGTGAACAAAAATTCCTTATATATATATATATATATATATATATATATATATATATATATATTCTTGGTAACCTAATTTACTTTACCGAACAACAAGAATTTTAAATCTTATATTATGATTTGAGATTTTTTTTTTATCAAATACTAATAATATCCTAAAAATCAAATGAAAAATCATTTTTTACCGTACATTCATTTATGTTTTAAGAAAAAAACTACTCTTATGTTACATGTGATAACTTTCTCTCCTACACACCCTTCGATAATTGTGCCACTTTTTTATTTTTATTTATTTTTTAGATGATAAAATTCACAAATTTATTTCTATGACATGAAATAACTTATCTTCTATAACGTGAGATTAATAATATCGTAACTTTTAACAAATCATACGTACAGTAAACCATGGTGCTAAGATCCTTTTAGTAGTGCTTTTACAGTCTTTATTTGAATTGACTTGTCAATACACTCACAAGTCGGTGGTGGAATCGTTTGCAATAAATGAGGATTCGTACGCTCTGATATTTTGGTATAGCTCTCGAATGCCGAGCTGATTACATATAAGATCTGAATGAATCACATATCGTTCACATTCCAGAAAAGGAAGAAGCACAACCAAAAAGCTAAACAAACTAGAGCAGTTTAGATATTATGAATCACATCTCTTTTAGGAAGCTCCCTTCTTTTTCTTCTCCTTACTTTCTTCCTTCTTTATTGCTTCGTTTCATATTATTATTATTATTTGTTTCGTGCAAAACAAAGGCTGTGGTGAAATTGCCACCAAATGTTTCAGTCCCAGCAGTGTTAGTGTTTGGAGATTCGATCATGGATACGGGCAACAACAACAACAACTTGCTAACAACTGCTCGGTGCAACTTCCCACCATATGGTCAAGATTTTGAAGGAGGGATCCCAACTGGTCGATTTGGAAACGGAAAGGTTCCATCAGACCTTATAGGTATGCTCTTTTTCTTAATTACCCGTGTCCTAATATGCTACCTAAGACGAATGGGAAGTGTGGAACTAAGTGGGACTTCAATTTTAAAAAAAAAGGGAGCTCATGGCAATACCAATAAAATAAGAAGTTTGTATTTATCATTTAATCGTCACACAACAAATTTTTCTACACACACAATATTTTGTGGAGTCCACACTTTTTGAAGAAAAAAAAATTACAGCACGCAAAACGAATCTCTATAACATTACACAATCATTTTTCCTACAACATAACTCTTATAAAATTCATAAAATAATAGTGAAATAAATGCAGTTATACGAGGAATATTTTTCTATTGTTAATGGGTGAGTGCTAAGTTCTATGAAAAAAATTTCATCCAATTGAATCTTACAAAGTTGTTACTATAAGAGAACAAAAGTGATAAGTTTTTTTTTACTATTAACTTTTAAATACACTTTTCCCCCTATTTACAGTTATTTCACTAAATCTTTGGGTCTACTAGTAACTAGTTCTACATAAAGTGCCTTTTCATGTTAACAAAAAAGAGTTTAATTGGCAATTTTAAGCTTCAGTTTTTACTTTTATACAAATATTTAATCATTTATTTGTACGTAGGTATAACTGATGTAATTTAATGGGCCTAGGCCTGTTTATGTTGCCAAAAGAATTAATGTGATTTGAAGTTGCTTTTTTCTTTGGTCAAATGAAATTAAAGTCATATCAACGGTATTATTAAATTCGACTCCGTCTACGTAGTCAGTGTATCATTAGTTTAATTTGTGGGTCATTAATTGAATTGCATGATCCACATAAAAATATATAAATTTATATTTTATATTTAAAATTCCTTCGTAGTAATTTCTATATTGTCTAACAAAATCTATAATTATGTCTATTTAGAATTATCCAAAATTATGTCTAGCAACAAATACAAGGATTAATTTGAGAAATCAGGCCTTGGGCATGGAAGATCATCTTATCATCTTCAACTAGGCTCCTCCTCAAACTATTAATTTATTGAATGAGAATTTATTTGTTTTTCATAATTATAGAACTCTTGTATTTTTGTAATTTATTTTTCGGGCTTAAACTCTCCCTAAATACAGAAAAAACGAATTATCTATAGGGTCATTATTAAAAAATAAAATTAATATCACTTTTCAAATATCAAATTAGCTCTCCTTCTTGTCTTCTATGCTTTCAAATTTCAATCCAACTTACATAGTATTTTCATTTTTCATTTCAATTTCATTTTTCTTAACTTTAAATGTTTAATCGTGTTTTGTTTTTGGTGTGATTGACATGTGCATTTGTGAATTGAAAATGGTGCACTGCAACTTAGAGATTTTGCATTTGGTCATTGCTTAATAAAATCAGAATGGATCATCAATTTTGATAAAAACCAACGGAGTCAAATGTGTTCTCACATGGTCAGTTGTATGACCGATCCGTTGGCTAACCCAAACCAATTAGGTCATCGATTCACTGATTTTCAGATCAACCCGGTCGGGTCGGGTCGGGTCGAGTCAGATTTAATAACACCGCATACAAATGGGGTCATCTATTAGCTTTAATTAGTATAATTCAATTTTTGTGTTGTATCAGTTGAAGAATTAGGCATCAAGGAGCTTCTACCAGCATACTTGGATCCAAATCTTAAATCTAGTGATTTGGCCACTGGTGTGTGCTTTGCGTCCGGTGGCGCCGGATACGATCCTTTGACATCACAATTAGCGGTACATATTTTCAAACTTCAAATTTAATTTCTCCAAAAGTATGGTAATATTTTGTATTTTATTTTTTTCATTTTAGCATTCCTTTTTTGTAACTTTGTTACATTGTTATAATCAGTCGGCTATACCTTTATCCGGTCAACTAGACCTGTTCAAAGAATACATAGGGAAGTTAAAAGGACTTGTTGGAGAGGACAGAACAAACTTCATCTTAGCCAACAGTCTTTTTTTTTTGGTATTAGGCAGCAACGACATTTCCAACACCTACTTCTTGTCTCGTGTTAGACAACTGCAATATGATGTTCCTTCTTACACTGACCTTATGGTCAGATCAGCTTCTAATTTCTTGAAGGTATGGTTAAGCTTCATCTCTCACCAGCACATTTTTATATTTTCAATATTCCTATAATATGGTAATGTATTATTTAACGTTAGAGATATATAAAATTATTAATGTAGCATCACTCATTAGCTTAAGCTTTTGGATTGAATTGATTCTTTACATGATATCAGAGTCTCGGTGTCACGGGTTCGATCCTCACTGCCTTCCACTTTCTCTTGTGAAATTTCTGTGTATTATCCACCCTTCAAGTTCAGTGAACTCTCGTGTGAGGGGCGTACTCGAGAAGTAAAGATATATAAAACTATTAATGTAACCTAACTCATTGGCTTAAGTTTTTGGGCTGAATTAGTTCTTTATACTTAAAATAAAAAATAAATAGGAGTCGGGTAATATTAACCTTAAAGCAAATGATAAAATAAATATTAATAGGTGGATTATTATTATTATTTTTAAATTTTAATAAGTGATATATCGAGCCTTCAGTATTAATATTTAGTATTACGGAGTACTAAATATATTTTCATAAATCTTAACCCTTAGCCTTGATTTAACTCCTTAATCACAAGTTAATAGGGGATATTTTATTAGCCATTTATTAAACATACTTAACTTATAAATACCTATAGAGTTAACCAATAAATTTAAAATACACTGTGTCATGAATTTACAGCTTAAATTGGTTAATTACATTATATCAAGTCTGTGTAAAAACTTATCTGTGCAACTATATTTTTCTCGTCACAAAACAAGCAAATTCACGTTTCTATAGTTCTAATGATTAATTACCTTATATGTATTTTTTTTTTTTCCTTTTCAATGCAATCGAAAGGAAATTTATCAATTAGGGGCACGAAGGATTGGAGTGTTCAGTGCTCCACCAATTGGGTGTGTGCCATTTCAGAGAACCGCGGCTGGAGGAATAGAAAGAAAATGCGTAGCACAGTACAACGACGCAATAGAATTATTTAACAGCAAATTGTCAAATGAGCTGGATTCTCTTAACCAAAATTTTCCCAACAGCAGGATTGTTTACATTGATGTTTACAACCCTCTCCTTGATATCATTGTAAACTACCAAAACTATGGTAATTCCAAGTTTCAATTCTCTTTGCTGATAGCAATTAGGCTTTTATATATATATATATATATATAGTGTTTAACAAAGTACACTTATTTTTTATTTAATTTTCATATGTGTAAATATTGTCATTGTCATTCCTACTATTCATTACTGTTATAATACTGTGTCATAAGCATAAATTATTATAAAATATAGGAAGTAATTTAAAAATTTAAGTGAATAGTATTTTTTTTATTTCTATATACTTATTTTTTATAACTTATTATAGTATAACTTTAATGAATAACACAGTGATAGCACTAGATGGCGAAAATTAAATTAAAAACGATTGTACGTATAAAGATTAAATTAAAAAAATATTACACAACATTTAAATTAAAAATAAGTATCAATATAAAAATTGAAAATGTATTTTGACCTAATAGTTACCATTTATTCTCGAGCATTTGTTAAAAAATTAGTTTTGACAAAGTTACTAGGTCAAACTTACGAGTGAATTACCATTTCTAATACTTTCCGTTGGTTTCAAGCATGTCATAAATGTTTTGACGCTTAGTCATATTCGTCACTTCAACTGTTGCATTTTTTAAAAAGTTCCTTATATAAACTTGTAAAATGTTTCCTTGTCACTGCAGGCTATAAAGTCGGAAACAGAGGGTGTTGTGGCACGGGCACAGTAGAGGTAGTATTCTTATGCAACCTTTTGGTTCCCCGGTGTCCAAATGTTTTGGAGTATGTGTTTTGGGACAGTTTTCATCCTTCGGAAAGCGTTTACAGAAAGCTCGTAGCTCCTATTCTTCGAAAATATATGTACGATTTCATATGAGCATAATGACTGTTTCAGTCTTTATAAATGTATAATTGCATATCATGATAGACTTAAAACATTGTAAAATAACTTATGTGGTGTCTATTTAATATAAGTTTTTCTAGCTAAAAAGTTAAGTATGTCTTGATGTTTTAAGTTCATTGTAAGTTCTAACTGATAGGATAGATTATCATATATGATTTTTATCCATTGTTTGGTGAACCAACAAAATATAATAAATTTATTCTATTGGCTTATTTCATCATGTCCGCGATTGGACATGATATCCATCTCATCCCAATTATAGCACTTTGCTCTTCTCTTATGAGCTTTACAAGACACATGAGGGTCAGCCCTGCCATCGTCATTGGCCCCATCGATCATCTCTACCACTCGTTGCTATCACCATTAGCCATTACACACCCACTTTCATCGCTATCGGCCATCACCATGAGCTACCACTCACCATCCTAATCACCAATGCCCTTAAAATTGCCACCAACCACCATCGACGTCTCCACAATCCCCATAGGCCACCACCACCACCATCGTCGTTGTCACTATTCGTCACCGCCTACCACCACCACCTCGAGTCCCCGCCATTTCCAACCACAGGCACCATTCATTATCGCCATTGCCATCCACACTAGCCACCATAATTGTAATTGGTAATCATCGACATCGTCACCACCACCTATTGCTATCAGCCACCACCATCAACCATTATCAATAGCAATGACCATAAATATTGACAATCAATTTTAAACTTACTTTTTAAAAATTTATTTGGTAGGGATATAATTTTTTTATTTTGAAAAATTTTGTTAGTTATTTATGTATTTTAATATTTCTTATTTAAAATTGTGATTTTCAAAATTATTTAAATATTTAAAATAAGAAGTAATGTGTGGATAAGTGTAAGAACCTGCACCGTTAATTAAGGAAGTTAATTAATTAATTATGAGAAATTAGGAAATAATTTCATAATTGACCCTAATAATTATTATGATGCTTAAATAATATTGGTAAGTGGTTAATAATGCTGAAAGTCGCTTTTCTAACGAAAAGTGCAGATATCGGCTCTGCTACTCGGTATAAACGCGTACTGATGAAGTATTCTGGAAAATTATGAAAAGTGTGTATATGTCACTAGAATAATATATAGGACTTGTAAAACGAGTTTCAACTTAAAATAATGAGAACTAATGCCAGAACTGATACTGGCTATGGAAAAGCGCGTATCAGAAAGGTGATGCGAAAAATAAAATAAAAATATGATAAATCTTAGAAAAATGAGTAGGTCCAGAATCCTAAGTTTGGGATTAAAATGCTAAGCGTAGCAATTAGTGCTAATAGTGTGTGTTTAATTCTTAAAACACTATATATACAACTTTTGGCACATAACCCTAGGCATGCTCAGTTTCTCTACGTGAGATTTTCTGAAGTTTGAACAGCCACCTTGCCACCTTCATCCTCCCTTCACCTTTGGAGCCAAGAGACCTCATTTTTTCTTGGTTCTTTCTCTAAAACTCATTGTGTGAGTGTGCATTGGCTTAAGAGAGTGTAAGGTGCTCCCTTTTCTGAGTTTAAGGTGCTGTTTTCTTGTGTTTGGGGTGCTGACTTGTTGGGTTGGGTTGTGAGAGCCTTTGTTCCTTGCTTGTTGAGCTTCAAGGAGCCACCTTTTTTGGGAAAGGACCTTGCTTTGTAGTTATTTTCGTTTCCTTACGAAGTCAGAACTGTGGGAGCTGTTTGGTGAGTTCCAAGAGCCATTATTGCTCTGTTTTAACCTTGGGTAAGTGTTAACAACATTGATCATGAGTTTTAATGGTTAAAAGTGGAACCTTGATGCATGTAAGGAATTAAAGTTAATAACTTGTGGTTGGGTAAGCTTGAACACACCTTAAAATGCATTTTAAGCCTCTCGAATCGTAAAATGAACCACCTTTAGAGTGATATCTTCGCGAAAATGCAGAACTACATTCTGTCACGAAATATCCGGATATTGATATCCGAATATGGGATCTTATGATATCCGATATGGATATCCGGATATAATATTCGGATATCATATCCGGATATGCATATTGCATATCCGGATATGATATCCGGATATGCCCCCGACGACTATCCGGATATTCTGGGTTTTCGAGAACAGTAACAGTACTGTTAATACAGAACTGAGTTATGGGTTTATGGACCCTAGATTGTGGAAGTTGAACTTCTGTAATGATTAAGTTAAGTCAGAATCAAGGGATTAAGGGCTTGTGGCTTTGTGAGAAGCCTTAAGACTGTTAGTATATGGATGTCCTAGAGACAATCTTTTGATTAGATTAGGACATATATGTACCTTTTATATTGTCGCAAATAAATTATAAGCACTCTTTATCTTGTTTCATATTTTGTCTCGATATAATTATTAATATATTATATGAGTAACTAGATAAACCCCTTGGAATATAATATGTATCACTTGAGTATCTGTGATGAGATCACGATCATGAGAATTCAAGGATACCGGATGTTTATTCCTAATTATATGTTCCTAGTCTAGAGACACTGAAAATGGGGTTCAGTAATCTCGGGTAAGACTAGCATTGCTTATCTACTTGTATATGTCTTAGCTAAAGTCGTGGGTGGATCTATAAGGGTATAGCTCGCACTGAACAGACCCGGAAAAGAGACTCTATGAGGAAATCTCACAGATAGTGTCATTAGAGCAGTCTCTTGTTATTTGGGTGTGTCTTTTCTTAGACTAGAAGTTTTCGCCTAGACTACGTTCTATAAGGCATGTTTTGATTGTATACCTCGTCTGCCTGAAACATGGAGATACATAGGTATACCTTTGGGCATGTCCTAAAAGAACACAAGCCTAGGGTGATAAGCTGAAGGAATTCGACAAATCTATGTGAGAGATTAGGTTATCTGTAAACCAGAGAAATCGGGATGACATTTACGGGACTCGGGAATCTATGCATAGTAAAAGAGATCATGAGATGATCTGCCTTTAGAGTCAGTAAATTGAAGATTCCCTATTTCGAATTAAAGCTTACCCTAAACCGCAAGGGTTGATACATCTCCTCACCCCAGGTTTAATGGGAAGGTAATCGAGACGAAAGGAAATACATACGGTAACCAAATACATTTAATAGGATGATCATGTCATTAACCTAACTAGCTCTGGGGCAACAAAACATTGCTAGTGCTCTGTGTTGTCATTAAATGAGTTGTGGTCTTGTTGAGCCCAAGCTCATTTATGTCGGTGGCTATGTTGGGCCTAATGGGTACACACTAACACCTTATTGTCTTGACATTATAGCATTAAAGGTTTTGGGCCTAATAATGGTTGTTAGCCCAAGAAGAAGTTTGGAAGCCTACCTAAGAAGGTAGGGGGCACATGGATGGTGATAATGGGCTTGATAGTCCAAGACATTATTAATTAATTTAAATAGTTAAATTAATATTTAATTTCATAATTTAAATTTTGAATTTAAATATTTGAATTTGAATTGACTATAGTAGTTTTGTTTCATAACAAAAAGGAGAAGATAAGAGCTAGATTTGAATTTGAATTCAATTAGCATCTTATCATAATCATGTCCTTTATTTTATGAGAGAATTTTATGGCTGAATGGGGCGTTCAAATAGGCTAGCCATATGATGGTTGTTAGACCAATAAATTGACTTGGTTGTTAGCCTTATTTTTCTCCATGATTTGTGCGCTTCATGATTTGATTTTGGAATGATTTTATGACTCAAAATCAGCATGATTTGTGCGCTCCATGATTTTTGAATTTTAAATTTTGTACATTCTTTTGTCCCTCCAAAGATGTATTGGAGTTTCTTTAATTATTTTGTAATTAGAGAATTAGGCTAGTGGCGTTTAGACGAGAAAGAGTCGTGGCCTAAGGAGCAAGATGGAAGAATGTGCGAGCACCATGACCGTCTCAAATAAAACTGTTTTGTTTATGCTTGTATGTTTTAAAACGACTTGTATGCATGAGATAGTGTATCGCGGATGTATACTTTTATGGCTTAAAACGACTAGTATGCATCAATTGGACAAATCGCGTTTGTATGCTTTATTATGCACGTCCAATTACGACTAGTGTAATCCGATAGATGTTTGACATAGGTTACGACTAGCATGATAATAATACATATGCGTTTGATGAGACTTAGTAAACCCTAAATAAAAGGAACCCTTAAAGGAATCAATTATTAAGCGCATGATTACCTCCCACCACCAATATTACTCAAACCTCCTCTAAATAGTGGTGCTCTACAACTCAGTTGGGACCCACTGTTTCGTTGAGTGAGGGAAGTATTAGAAGTATAAGACACTTAGGGTGCCGGTTAGTGCTTAACTAAGTACATGAGTTGCAGGCTCAGTCGGGCTTATGTGCTTAGGGTAATAGTTCTAGGTTGGTTGCATGAGATGCACCACTAAGTGACAAGGAGTTGTCAACCTAATGTTAAGAGAAGGTATGAGATACTATTGATAAGGATCAACCCATTATTTAATTTAATCTTGCGGTCTCAGACGAGGGTTAAAAATAAATAATCGTACTCTTAAAATCCCACTAAGGTAAAATCTAAAAGTAGAATAACCCTAAGTCAGATTTTAAGGGTCATTGACTTAGATAAAATAGTGGGAGGGGCATATTATTTAAAGTCTTTAACAATTTGTTCTTATTTCATGACAATATATATTAATTAATTTATCTTTACATATTTTTTAGTTTTAGTATGACTAATCCACTATCACTGCGCTTTATACTCGATACGAACAAACTGACCGGTTCAAATTTTATGGACTGGTATCGAAACCTGAGAATTGTTCTTAGGGCCGAGAAAATTGCGTATGTCCTAGAAGGTGACTTACCTATAGCTCCTAAGGAAGGGGAAGCTGATTATGAAAGTTTCGATTTCGAAGCTCATAAACAGCACATGGGTAGCAGTCTGCATTATGTTGGCATCCATGTCGTCTGAACTGCAAAAGCAGCATGAGCATATGGATG